TTAGGGCACTATGAATAGCCAAGCATTTGCAAATTATAACTGATGGCAGCACTGGGTGAGCTAGACTCTCCAGGAACACCACGCCATCAAACTTGTTTACCCGAGTAAAAAACGAATTCAAGCTATAAACCAAAACAAACAAAAACAGCAGCAATAACAGCAGTTTCGGTGTTTATCAAAGAAATGACCCTTACACCAGATGGTGTATGCTTGGTATAAACACCATTGCACAGCACCATCTAATGTGACTTCACTGAACCAACATTCAACCAGCCCCAATCTGCCCTGCAGCTTGCAACAGGGACAGATGGGAATAGTTTAGTGCTGCAGGGCAGACATGATCTAGTTTAATGAGTAAAAATGCCAGAGTTCACAGAATAACAAAAATAATGACAACGGATTCTTGGCATATGATGTAATTGCACCAGTACCTGTGATATGTGGTCACCGCCTCTGCATTTTGTTTCGGGATTACAGAATATGTGGTAACGTGACCCTTTTGTTGTAACATTAGTCATGAAATAAATCATTATATTTTGGCGTCAGGATCTGGAGGAAATGCAGAGTCCCACCCTCCAGGTCTGAGCATGCAATAAGCAATGGTGACGGATAGGTATTATGAGGAGTTTCCTCCTGCCTCCGTTAGGGATTTGCAATAATCTCCTTTAGAATGAGTCACTGGTAGATTACCATATTGCCTGCTGTAGGCCAGGATATCCTATATAGGCTATGCTAATAGGTGAAACAGGAGGTTCACTGGTGGACTTGGAATAGCTACAGTGCTAACCTGTGCCTGGGAAGCACTTTCCTCTGCACTATTAATGTATTAGATACTCCTGCTGTGCACACAGAAAGCCATACCTGCATGCTTATGAAATGGCTGCTGTTAAAAAAAAAGGACAGAAAATCTCTTTATGCATTTATGACAAGCAGTATTTACTGTGACGATCAGGATGATCTTTTTCACACTCGGGAGCAAAGATCAGCAAATATACCCATAGAGATTTATACAGCAATTTGAATACCATGTCTTCTCTGTGCACAGACCATGCATTCTTTATGGGGACCATTGTTTCATATTGTACAATTATCAGTGCGTGTTTCACTATACATAGATAGCGTTAGCTAAGTTTGGAAGCTTTTTTGATCATCGGTGTTTTTGAAATTGAAGCCTCGTTATAACTGGTGTGCTGATTCTATTTTTCCAGAGCAGATTGTCTGTGCAGCAAATGATCCACAACCCCGAGAGCGTCTTAGTTCCTCATGTGGATTAGGTTCTTATACATTAGTCATATATGTTATAGTCATTGTCATGATTGTGTAAGGGTTTGTTTTTAATTACGCTTATATATCTCAATCATTTGTAAACAAGATTGGCTAGTGAAACATGCACTAAAAATCTAAATCCAATTTATAAATTATAAATATAGAGTTTCTACTCCTATTTTTTCATTTACTATGGATATTTGATTACAGGGTAATTTCAAGTAGAATCTTTTCTGTGAAGTTTCCTCCGCTTCTTTCAGTAAGACTGAATGCTAAAAAAATCTGCAGCTATGTGGCACTACCTACTCTGCAGTGACACTACATTCTCAGCAAACTAATGCATTTACTACACTTGCTTAAGAGGCGTCAGGAGTGTCTGAAGCTCTTTGCACTGATTAAACTAAAGGCCAGAAACAAGGCCTCAAAAGGGCAATTAGAATAAGCATGCTGCCACAAGCTAGCATACAGACAGAGCATGACCCTGTACATTTGTTTGGCGCATACATAGCACTTCTAGCTTTGCAGACTCCCTGGTGTATGAATAATTACCATGCATAAAACCTTTAAAGATTTATGAATCTCTGTGAAGCACAGCAGTATTTCTGTATCATGATTCACATCCGCAGGTCTATTACAGAATTACTGCTGCAGAAAATGACTTCACATAAACACAGACTTTGGCAGAACCTGTTTTGGAGGATATATAAATACATTTAAATGAACCCTGAGGTTAACATTATACGATGCAGGTCTATAGAAATACTGCTTACAACTTCTGTGATCCTTTCTGTAACTGAATTTCTACATATCTGCTTTACTGAGAAGGCAGTAACATTTACAGAAATAAACATTTAGGAAATTGTAAATTATAGTAAAATTGTGCATTGTAGTACTGCAACCTTAAGTGTTCACGAAAGGTCACAAGAACATGAATTAAAACAAGACTGAAAGACTACAGGCGTGAAGGTTTAAGTTAAACCTGCCGCAGGTACACTCACCAGATGGTTTATTAACACCTGTTGTGTCAGGAACTGATTGTCTGTCAAAAAGCGATTAAATATGGCCTGTATTTATATAGCGCTTTACTAGTCCCTAAGGACCCCAAAGCGCTTTACACAACCAGTCATCCACCCATTCACACACAGGTGATGGCAAGCTACATTATAGCCACAGCCACTCTGGGGCGCACTGACAGAGGCGAGGCTGCCGGACACTGGCGCCACCGGGTCCTCTGACCACCACCAGTAGGCAACGGGTGAAGTGTCTCGCCCAAGGACACAACGACAGACTGTCCAAGCCAGGGCTCGAACCGACAACCTTCCAATTACAAGGCGAACTCCCAACTCTTGAGCCACAATCGCCACAATAACATTAAGATTCATGATTTATTGGCTTGTAATATGCGAAACATATGCCAAATGTATCCATCATGGATGACATCAAGCCATCTACAGCAGCAAACAATATTCCTGTCTTCTTTAAGAGGGATTTTGTCAAGAGGGTAGGAGAAATTGGAATAAATATAACATAACAGTTCTATAGAGGTTTTTAAAGTCTGGTTGGTTATAGTGTTGGTACTGTATTACAGAGTCATAAAGATACTAGCAAAACATGTAATTTATTTTGTAATTTTATATATAACCCCTTTGTAAATCCTGCTGACTACAGTTTATTTACCAATATCAACAAAGACATTACACATAAAAAAAACACTAGATGCACATCTATGATGTGACTCGCCCGGCAACTCAAAGTTTGGGATGATCTCAAAGAGCGTTGCTATATGGTACGTCCTGATCTTTTGATACAAGGAAAGGTGGATCAATGATCAGGCAACATTTTTCCAATATTCTGTTGTCTAGTGAGCTGGTGTGAATTATAGCCTCAGTTTCCTGTTCATGGCTGACAGGAGTGGCACCCAGTGTAGTCCTCCGTTGTTGCAGCCCATCTGCTTCAAGGTTTAATGTATTTTGCATTTGTCTTTTGAGCTGCTCAAGAGAAACTAGCTTGCTACTTATTGAATATTTTCTCATTTTCAGACAATTCTTTTAAACGGTCCCTAGATACGGTTGTGCAAGAAATCAGCAGCAGCTATGGCGGCATGATTACCAGAGTCACAAAGACTCATCCTCTTTTTGCCGTTACTTTACAAAACCTTCCAATTGATTAATCTATCAGCTCACTGATGAGAAACTTCAGTAATAATCATGGTGGCAAACTAGCATGAATCATTGCTTTCCCCCCCCCCTTTTTTTTTGCAAATGCTACAAATGTCTGCCATTTTTTCAAACCTTTACACATTTTTGTACTTTAAATAATAAATATAAATGGCAAGCAAATCCCGTTTGAGACTGAATTGCGGGTATGCTCAAGCTTAACCTTCTTTTAAAGAGAATTGTCTATTCTTAATGCTGTAATTTAATCTACTAAGTGAAATGATCAGGGTGAGGAGTGAAGCAAAAAAAGGTTTTGGACATAATCCTGTGACAAACGGAAACGCTTAGTAGAAATGCTTCCATTATTCATTGGGCCAGCTTTAATCCAATTCATTAGGAGAATTTCACAAAAGGTGATCGGTGAAGTCCTCTTATGTCCTTTTTTTTTTTTCTTTTCTTGTTAAGATGAAATGCATCTGTGCCCCCCTCATATCCAAAGAAAATTAATTTGCATTCTTGTTAGGAATGCTCCTGTTTCATATTAGTACGGTATACACATAGAACAAAAATTTTATACAAGAATTGGCAAAAAACAGTGCATAATATTGTACCCAAGAGCAGCACTGTGCACTGAGCTGACAGGAGTGCTGTTCTCCTGTCAGCTGTGAAGGTTCCTGTGAATGTGCATGCAGAGTGGACTAGCAAAGAAACCAGGTGGCTGTTGAGACACAGTAAACACAACATACACGTGAAAATTAAACAACCTCATCTTTATGCTTTTGGGTTGGTCTTGCTTCTATGTATGCATTTTTTTCTTTTTCCCAGTGCAGAGATCAGTTTGGATCCTTAAATACACCGGGCTTGTTGTTGTAGGAACAAGGTTTCCTCCTGACCTATTTATGGAGCATCTTTTCAAGCCGTTTCACTCGCATTCAGCTGCTGCTCTTTCTGAACATGAGCAGATGTAAAGAATTTGACTGACATTCTCATGGTGTGAATGAGTGCAAAACACTTATTGTTAATGCTATTCTGGATGTGGTAGATGTGCAACGCTATGATAAACCAACAATCAAACCAAGGATGTTATTAAGATTTCCATTTACAATTTTCACTTTGCCTTTTTTTCCCCTCTAAGCAGGTTGTGCTGATAGTTGAGAAAGTAGGCTCAGTGCTGTCAGTTTCTTGCAGTTCCAGTCATACTTCCCACAGCTTTTCAGAAATACAGTAGCTATCCACAACCCCATATTTGGTGACCTGTCATTGCTCTCCTTTAAAGTGAAAGCCCACTCGACAGAGAAAGCATCATTCTGAAAGCCCTCTTTCTGCAGATGCTATATTGTTTTGAGATTACTGCAGAGTTCTGCTACTTTCCTCCTCATTATACAATTGAAGGAGTGTCTTTATAACCTCAAACAGTATCATAAAGGCATGCAATGATGTAGTTTCATGTTTGAATAAGACTCAGCTGCTATTAACATAATCCTTGTTGCTAAAAAACCTTCATGTTGAGCATAGGGCAAAGTGGCAGAAACGATAAATGCCAGAAATTATGCTTCACAAACCAATAAAATAGGCAGAGCTTTATTGTTGAATGTGATACATGTTTTTGGTTTTCCTTCCACTGTCATGACATGATCAGACTGAACCTGCATCATGTAAAGGGACTGAAAATATCACATTCTGTAGGTACAAATGTCCATATAAAAACACTATGATCACACCGTCATATTCCACTGTTGAAATACAGCAATGACAGTCATGTGGCTATTATGTCTTTAATGTCATATGTTAGACTCTTCATATCTGTTAGATAGAAAATAGACAAAAATAATTTCATATATTTTTCATAAATTCTCAAAAACATCACCAAGTGATCACAACATAAAATAATCAGTAACAATTTGAATTATTCGCAAGTACAACCCCATTAGCAAAATAACTTTCTTTTCCCACATCACAAACTACATTACAACCATTTCTTCATATTTCTTTAAAGTACCTTTTTAACAGCATAGTGTAATGGACAATTTGTTTAAAAAAAAAAAAGATAAACGGATGCAAAAAAAGGATTCACTCCATAAAATAAGTCCATCTTCTGTGCTGAATAAAATTAAAAGTACACTCAAGCACTCAATCACATATAATTTCATATTTCTTTGAGGCACTCATTGCCTTTCAGCTCAATGTTCCCACCTGTAACGGCCCTGTTGGTGATAAAAGCTTGTTACAATAAGCTTTAACATATTAGGACTAAATAAAATGTGACTATAAGGGCAATCACCCATCTGTGATTGGAGCTTATCCAGCTTAGGCACACATTTTTATGACCAAGAAAAAAAACACTTGATAGAGAATGGAAAACAACCAAAAAAGGGGGATCAATTTTTCAGCATGGCCAGTCAGAGTTTTGTCATTGGTATGTGCAGGTTGTTCCAAGGTCCCATCCACAATTCCTCCTCATCTGATAATGTGTGGTCACTGTGGGACTCCAGTGTCTCCCTACTGTTCTTGTGGTTGTCAACTGAAGTCTCTTGCTGCTCAGTGACACACGGGCCACTGCTGTTTCTGTCAATTGTGGCCTTAGCAATATTGGTTTTGGACCCAAAACTTTTAAGCTCTTTAATGGTGGAACCCAGGGAACTAGAAGAGGACCGAGTGTTGAGGTTGATGTCCATGTTGGAGGGAACACTCGTACCTCTTTCATTTTCTGCTTCGTTTCCCATGTCCTCAACACTAATAACCGGAGGCGGTTCTTCATGTGTTACGCCCAGCTTTTCTAGTTTTTTAAAATGCTTACCCAGCCGACATGGAGAACCCATCTTTAGGTTGTTTAGATGAGGCGGTCGCCTAGTTCGCACAATAGTGCCATTCTGTGCGAGGTAGATATTCCCGTTTATGTTGCTGTGGCTGTTTGGGAGTCTGTTCCGTTGTGTCTCTGTGCTGCTGTCCTCTGCAGTGGAGCTGGTCTCGTTTTCCCGATCTACAATCAACTTAATCCGCTTCTTTCTCCCAGGCTGAGGAGAAAGTGGAGGGTTATTGTTATTATATTTACTTTTTTTAAGAGGGTGCAGTAAGTGAAATTTTTTTAAAAAAAAACGTTAGTTAAAAAAGTTAAAAAACTGGGAAACAAAGCTGTTTTGAAAAGAATTTGCAGTAACTGTTTAAATCAGAACCTGGCTAAAAACCTGTTTTATCATTTTTTTAAAGTTTCTGTTCTGTGCTAGACTTGCATTTTAGTGAGAAATCTCGTGTTTCCATAGAAAATGACAACCACACAGTAATAATCTGAACATCACAAGAAACACAACCTCCCAAAAAACACACTGAGCAATAAGTTAGTGTTTTGACATGCAAATTTCCACTCTAGAAACACGGCATGAAAACATCAAAGAGAACAGAAAGCCAAAGATGTGAGAAAGAGAGATTCCAATATTGCAGCAGGAAAATCAGGTCCTTTCTTGCTAAGGGGGAATGAGGAAAAAGTGAATGTGAACTCTCTAGAGGCAAGCAATATTTCTTCACTCCCATGCAAGGGTAATTGATTTTATTCACTCTTACTTCACAGTGGACAATATATCTCTCTAGAAGGCAGTTGACTTTCCCTCAGAATCTGAATCAGCATCGGATGTTTCTTCAGTTTCTTCTGAGCTCTTTGATGCACTGCGGGTCCCTGATCCAGAGCCCCTGACTGAGGATCTGTCAGAGGAGATGGCATCCTCGTCCACCTCTGTGATAGGAGACAGTCCTCCATATGTCTCTTCCGAGGTGTCACCAATGCTTCTGATCTCAGAGCGGGCAGGAGGACCAGTGTAGGACGTAGAAGGCCCAGGGTCTCCAGATGCCACACTGGATCTCCTAGATGATCCTGCATCACTGAGTTCGCTGGTGGACTCTTTGCTCTCGTCATCAGCCTCAGAGTCGTCTTCATCCTCCTCTTCACTTTCCTCTGTGATTGTGTCCTCAGATCCACGGCTCACAATAGACTTTCGGGAACTTCGGCTGCCACTAGTTGACTTGGAACCAGCTGAGCTCATGCTGCCCAAAGAACTCACGTCTGAACCAGACATTTTCCTCTGGCTGGACCGAGATAATGAGCCTTCACTTCCTGAACCTGATTCTGGCTCACTGGCTGTCCCTGTCCCCGACTCAGCTTCACTGAGGTCCCCGCTGGACTTCTCTGAGGTTACTGCTGATGATCTAACACTTGAGCCAGATAAAGATGCAGCAGTACCACCACTACCACTGCCACTCTCACTTGTACTTTCACTTCTGCTACCACTGACACTGGAACTCCCACTGACACTCTTTCCAGAAGCACCACTCCCCTTGCTGGCTTCAGTCGCAGAGGATCTCGTGGAAGAACGAACAGAAGAGCCACTTTCTCTAGTGCTGCCTGAAGCTTCCTCAGACTCGTCTTCAGAGTCTTTCTCTGTTTCTGAATCCTTTTCTGTGCTTGTTCCCCCCTCTGTTGCTGAGCCTGTTTGTGATTCTGTTTCTTCCTCAGACTGTGACTCTTTCTCGGTTTCTGACTCTTTCTCAGTTTCTGACTCTTTCTCGGTTTCTGACTCTTTCTCGGTTTCTGACTCTTTCTCGGTTTCTGACTCTTTTTCTGTAGCTGACTCCTTCTCTGAGTCTGACTCCTTCTCTGACTCAGATTCTTTCTCACTGGCAGATTCCTTATCCGTCTCTTCTCCTTCAGACTTGGACTTGCTTTCCTCATCGGAATCTCCTGGCTCTTCATCAGGCTCTTCCTCTGAGTCCACGGTGCTTTCATTGGCATCATCCCGGTCTAAATCAACTTTGAGATAATCTCTGTCAACACTGCTTTTCTCTGAGGTTTCATCGTCAGAGCCCTTCTCTTTACTGCTTCCACTAGCACCTGCTTCTGGCTCACTTTCTGTCACACTAATGGACACTTTAGACTTTCTTTCATCCTCACTAGCTGCTTGTGAGGCTTCCTCATCTAGTTCACTGCCAGTGGCTGAGCCACGACTCACACTACTCTGTGACTTTCTTCGGACCTGCAACTTTGTGCCCAAGTTGATTTTCCTCAAGACTTTCCCAAGCTTGCTACGGGCATCAGACTTGCTGTCTATTGGTCCCATAACTGCTGGTCCATCAGCTAGACTTTCCTGGCTGTCAATACGGCGAGCAGACATCAGTTTGGCATAATCCTTGTCCGTTTTCCCGGCGCCAAACATCTTGAACATCCTGGCTTTTTTCCATGGAGATGTGCCAGAAGCACTGGCATCAGATGGCTGCTCTCCTCCCTTGCTGGCAGCCAGAAGTTTGCTGAGTTTCATGACAGACTTCAGTTTCTTGGCAGCCTTAGAAGGTTCACCCTCCTCTGCTGGCTCAGCTTGTTCAATTTCATCCTCGGGTGGCAAATCCCTAAACGCAACTCTCTTCTGCGGACCTCTACCTCGCATGCCACCACGGCCCCTGCCTCTGCCCCGGCCCTAAGATAATCACATTTCATTTAGCAACCATGAATTTGTGAATATAAAGCCATCGTGCTGCATAGGTTTCACACACATTACTGTTCAGTAATACCTTGAACACACAACTTATTAAAACAAATATTTGAGATAATACTCAAGATAATCAGTGAAAGTCTGAAATTCACATTCAAGCAAGGGTAATACCTCAGGGCCATGTGGACTGTAGTAATACCCATCATCCTCCACAATAACCTCTCCATATTCATCATACATGGGTGATATCAGCCTCCGCCGACTGCCGTACTGAGGAAAGTCGTACCTATAGTTGTTCACAGAAAAGGGATTCGAATTAGTTTAGGCTGATGATTAGTTGAAAACACCAAAGTTGACACACTGCAATATTAAAAAAATAAATCTCAACCAGATTTATTACTTTAATATCAAAGACCCACTGTATCATGTAAGGGACCTGTTATTATTAGTGATAGTAAATATTCTGCATTGCAAAGGAAGATTATCAATCTCCTATGGGAACAGGAATTATAGCAATATCAATATACTCACAAAGAATCAAGCAAGCTAGAAGGTTATTTACCCCATATCAGTGTTTTAAAACCTGCATTGTATTTACAGTACAGTGTGATTTGCTCAGTAGCTAATAAAGGGGCTTAGTTTTGCTGTCTGGAATTCTTTCCATTATTATTTTTCAAGTCCTTTCTCTAAATTGCCCTCAATTATATCAGGCTGATCCCATTAATTACTGCTTTTGGTTGTTGTTAATATAACTGAGAACGTCTTTGGTCAGACAGACAGTAATTGCTGTGGTGATTTACTGCACTTTTTGAAATTACTTTTCAATTTAGTGAGAAAGCAAACAAGAGGGGGAAAGCATGCAGGCTAAAAGGCTAAAAGAGTGTTCCTTCAAAAGAAAAGAAGACAAAACAAATATTTCAGTATATTTGCCTGTGTTTGTCAAAATCCTCTATTGAATTACAAGAATGCAACCACATGTAGAAATGGAGACTGTAACAAGCAATAACTAAAAGCCCATTAAAAGCATGTGAATTTAATTAGCTTGTTTAAAGACCACACACTATGTATGCAGAATGCTAACAAAGAAACACAAGAGAGAAGAAAAAAGTGTTAACGGTCAAATTACATAACATGGTATGGTAGCCGCAAACTTTTAAATATATAAATCAAATTTTGCTTTACTATATAATATGAGGCTGTACGCGTTAATGCGGTTGTTTAATGCCTCACCTAGGATGTGAGTTAATATTTACTTTAAAATACTAAATTAGAGAGGTGGCTACACTTTACGTCTGCTGTAAGGCCCGTGCAGTCTGGTGACTGCAGCATTAAAAGCTTAACTGCTAATAAAGTTTGCCCCTCATCTCAAATAGGAGCAGATCAAAGTCTTCACATAGTGATGGTACACTCACTGGCAGTGGCAGCTTTTACAAAAAAAAAAGTGACATGTCATTAAAATATAAGTTCAGCTTGTTAGAAATGAAAGTGTGATTCAGACAATAATTAAGCTGGCTGGTGAGAAACTACAGAGGCAATTAGAACACTTGATTTCACTACGCACAGTTTTTTCCCCCTAGTTTGTTAGATTTTGGTTCAGCGATTTAAGGCTGGAAAATATAAAAGCTTCTTCCCGTTTTGATAAAAGTTGCAGCATAATTCCCCACAGCAGCGCAAGTCACCTGCAACAGAGCAGGAGCGTTTAATGAATAACAATTTCTCAGCAGCTGTTACAGCTTTGAGTTCCATGTTTTTCCTTTTTAGACCATATGGGCAAAGTAACCGGGCAGCCAAAACAGCCTTTATCCATTAAGCTATGGGAAGAACATTCAGACTCTCAGGTGCCTGACTGAAGGGAACATAACTGATCTCATTTTGGCAGGAGTAAAGAGGGCAAACGCTTGGATGGTATGTAATACTGAAGGGGCAGCTTAAGTTATGTGAATCATTTTATTCTGAGCTTCTTTGAAAATCTCATAATTCTCCAAGGATCTCAGCTCTCAAAGAGAGCTAGAAGGCAAGGTCAGGATGAAGAGGTCCTAATGATGTAACTTAAGAAAAAAATGTTTTCTAAATGAACCAAGGGAGATCAGGTCCATGGATTAAAGTACAACTGATTAGAGATAAAACAGTCAGTCGGCTGCATGCTCACCCCTGGTCATAATTATAGTAGTCCTGTGTGTAGTAGTCCTGGCCTGGGTCGATACCTGACTCCATGGAGAGTTCCTGCGTTTCAGAGGGGCAGAGAGGGAAATTACTCAGCACTCCTCACAATAAGACATCAGAAGATGAGCAGCAGCAGCACAAAGGGCGGGGGGCATGCACAGCAGAATGACCACAATTGCTTTAAATTTAGAAAAGCAGGTGTGTTTCTACCTCAGGTCTCAGAAGAGATGGCCTCAGCAGTTGCTGTTGCTGCCAGAAGTTAGTAGAGAAGAAGGATAAGGTAAAGGAAGGGACAGGCAGCAGAGAAACAAACATGCGACAGACCTCAATCTACTTCAGATTTAAAGCCAGACAAAGCTGGACTCACTGAAACATCTACGGAGAAGGAAGGTGAAAAGATTGATAAATTATTGATGGAAACAAAGCAAGGAAGGAGAGTGAAGATCCCAGCCAAGCAATGGAGATGAAAGAAACTGCGCTCAATAAAAAGGAAGGAAGAAAGAAAGAAAACATCCCGTGCTTATCTGACACTGACAGTTCAGATGATTTAAAAGATTATTCGAAAGGAAAAAAAGACTTTAATGTCAAACTGACAAAAAGAGTCACACTGTTTGGTTCCTGATTAGTTATTTTTCCACCAGAGGAGAAAAACTCATCCAACTGCTTATCTGCTATTTGACGGGAACATTGGAGAATACAAAAGACTCTCAAAAATCAAACCTAAACTGTAATGTCAGTGTTAGAACTTCTATCACCGCGATCTCATCTTAATCTCATTCACTGTTTTCCATAAAGTGAATCGCAGATAAGAATAATGGGATATAAGCTTCCTCATGCTTCCTCTAGTGTCAAAATGTCTGAGCACAACAATAAGGTGTAAACACATCACGATGGGAATCCTTACCTGTCGGCCGTACCCTCGCCTCCTGCGTGTCACAGAAAGGAGAAAATAAGATAAATAATGAATATGGACTGACAACAACATTTCAAGTGCTTATAGATAAATTAAATGTTAAGTCTAGTGTGCCTACGTTCTGCTGACCAGAGAAGAAATAACAGCTTTACTTACTCTGCATTTTCAAGTGTTAAATTACAGCGTTGCAGATATTGTTCTGTTTTAAAAAAGGGTGCCTTAGGCTGCAATGTTATCACGCTGGTGTGGGCTGTTTTTTTCTCTCTCCCTCTGTTATCTCATCCAAACAGGAACAATAAAAAAATACAATAAATGCAAATATGGAAAGGGCTGGGAAAATTTGAAAGTCAGTGTTTATAAAGTCATATCTAATGAATCTACCAGCAGATATGAAAAGGACATTGTGATAAAGGGCAGAATTTCTGACTCAAAGAATTTTAATAAAAATCTCTTTGGTTATCACGTCATAATATGCCTACAGAAAGTAATGGATTTCTTTTCTAATGAATTGGGGAAAATCTTAGAAATGTCACTATATTAACCACATGAAAAACAACTCAGAACTCCTCCTGTGGATAAAAGTGCGCCTGCATTGTCTTCAGTACGAGTGAATGAAACGGCAAGTAATGGAGCAGCTCGGCTGAAAGCTCCAGCTTCACGGGCGTACAACTGTAACCTGTCTGGGCCCATAAATGATGATGACTCTCACACACTCAGATATATGGCCAAGCAATGATGTGAGATTCCTCTGGAGAGTTGTAATCTGTTATTATGGGCAAGGATCAGGGGACAGGGCAGAGCCATATGCCACACCTCCCAGGCAGAGTGGACGATGGGACTGGGATCTGATGGATGACCTGTTGGCTTGGCTGCTGGCTACTGCTGTTTCATGCAACATGAAGAAAAATGGCCCAGTGGACAATAGCCATAGGAAGTTTGCACAAGAGAGGAGTTGGCAGAAGATGTGTGATGAAGAAATGTTATAGAAAAAGAGGTAAGAGTGGTGAACTCAAAATTACAGCAAGACTGGAATATTGAACAGCCTTGTATCGTATCTATAACAGGAGGGTGATGTTGGCTCTGTTAATAAGTAGCTTTACTATCTGGCGGTGCAGATATTTACATGGAGACTAAAAATAGAATCTTTATCACCCTGCTGGTACAACAACATGTAGTAAAGCAAAGATAAACATGAAAAGGTTGAAAAATATAAAGATGAGGAGCTTGTTTTACCACATTTTTTAAAATTAGATATGTAACTGGAGTGAGCACCCTTTTATCTTAGCAAACAAACAGAAAAACAAAAAGAAACGGGGAAATATAATCACATTACCACCATCTTTGTGCAGAGATAACAAAGCTATCTATCAAAGCTCACAAATTAGCAGGATGCTATATTACTAGCGATCCATAACTGTCTAGCCAGGACAGGAAATGGCCAATTTTCATCATTCACAGGCACAACTGGTTACTGGCTGGTCAGTCTCATATACGTCCGTTATAAGCCACTCTATTTCATGCGTCACAACATGCACACAAATACAACTACCGGTATTTGTGCTGTGAGTGTGCACAAACTTCTACAGAGTGAAGACACCGGGTTTCCCAAAGTAAACCATCGAAGGTTGACCACGGTCATCCTTCGATGGTTTACTTGGTTTTAGTGCACTAAAACATTTGTCACAACGAACCTAATCAGACACCTAAATAGCCTCACACAGCTGAGCATGGACATTTTAAAGAAGCTAACAAAGACAAAGTGGCTACAGCTAAAGCTATTCAGGGCTCACAGCCAGCAGCCTCGGTAAGAGCCTCGGTATTAGTGAAGGATCAAAGAAGTCAATCTCCTCTTAGTTGGTAAATTTCTAAACATAATAGAAAGTCTACTAGGTGTATGAAATTTGTTTTGTTACATAAATCTGTTGTACCTGCTTTTGCCAGTAAGGTAACATACTGTATGTCAAATAAAGGTGGGTGTACAGCAACACATTTTCAGTTAAATATTAGTATGTCTAGTAGAAAACCACTTTATTTTCAGTTTTTTTTAAGGGGGAGAGAAGATCTTACAACCTACTCATGCTTGAGGAAAATTGTGAAGTTGAATCATTTCTTCTTATTATTTTTTTCTTATTGTGAAAATTATATTTTGCATTGAAAAAAGCTGATTTTTGTTTGCAAAAGCTGCCAGTTATAGTTCTTAGAAAAAAATCAAAACGGCCAAAATCTAGTATTAATCTGAATCTGCCAAGGATATTGAGGTTGATGCATATCTATTTATCAAATGCTACCTTGTTTGTTTTAGCTGTAACCCTGATATTATAGCTAATGTATTGTGGCTTTCGGGTGTGTTTGTTTCCTTTGGACAGAGCTGTTTCTTTATAACAGGATTTAGTTAAATATCTATTATGTGGACCAGAATAGAAGGATTATTTTCTAATGTAACTCACAGAAAGACAGCTGCAAATCACCAAATGTTTAACTTTTCTTAACAAACAATAAATCTGGTATAAAGCTGCTTACTAATCGGCATTTTTTTGTGCACGCACCCGCTGTTTTCTATAGGATACTGTATAATGATTGGTTTGTATTTTCTCAGTTGCAGCTTAGATAATTCTACTAAAAACATAGTAATAATAATGGATTGGATTTATATAGCGCTTTTCAAGGCACCCAAAGCGCTTTACAATGCCACTATTCATTCACTCTCACATTCATACACTGGTGGAGGCAAGCACAGTTGTAGCCACAGCTGCCCTGGGGCAGACTGACAGAAGCGAGGCTGCCATATCGCGCCATCGGCCTCTCTGGCCAACACCAGTAGGCAAGTAGGGTAAAGTGTCTTGCCCAGGGACACAACGACCAGGACAGAGAGCCCAGGGATCGAACCGGCGACCTTCCGGTTACAGATGCGATTCCCAACCCCTGAGCCACGGTCGCCCAAACATAGCACGTTATGTGTATGTTACTCTTGACTTTGACTGGTTTTTTTTTTGCATTCCCAATCAAAACTTTTTCTGAGAATAATTCTCTAGAAATAAACTGTTTAGCTTTCCTTTCTTTATTTTTTTTGATATTACTGCATTGAACTGTCAGCTGGAATACAAAACAATATTGATAAAACCAACTGTAAAAAAAGAATATAAAGAAGACAATCCATTAAGACGGCTCTTTGGGTTGAAAGAAACAGCGTGTGATCACCTAGCCTCTTTGCAAAAGAGATTACCCCATGCAGTGAACATGGAATACAGAATTAGAGGACCTTCGATCAGCCCATCAGGGGAACATGTGATGAATCAAACATTACATTGCTCTGGAATTGAGATATGCTAAGACCATTTGCCTTAGGGCATGGAAGGTGAAACAAACACATAAAGGGTATATAGCAGAAAGACAGAGCGGAGAGAAAGTGAGAAACATGAACACAAGAAGAAGAAAAAAAAGAAGAGAACGGGAGCAGAGGCTGCATTGCAATGAGTCTAAAGAAGGTAATAGAATCTCCAGAGGACCAAAAGGAAAGATTAACAAGAAGAGGCCAAGGATTGGAAAGTATCAGAACTAACTGCAGGGAGAGGGGCGGTGTAAGAGACAGAGAAACGCAGGCAGGCAGAAGGTCAGAGGAATAGAAAAGGAAAGGAGAGAGTAACAGTAGTTGACAGTCCCACAGGCAGCAACCCTGGTTAACGATTGATTGCTTCTCTAATTAGCCTTTTCCAGAGTGCAGACGAACATCACAGTGACTACTTTATCATGCTGAGAGGATCTTTGCGGACATGTGAATAGACAGGTCCCCCAGCGGTTGGCTCTCTTAATTCAACATGAGCCTCCTGGGATCAGCCGATGTATATCTTTTTATAGCTTCAACCAACATAAGAGGCTTTCAAATAAACGTAGCTGGTACAGGCATTCACTTGTTTGAATAAAGACACTGTGTACAGCTTGTCATATTATATTATCCCGTATTTTTCGTTTGCTTCAGTATACATATTTTTGATTCTTTATGTACATATTTCACAGAATCCCACATCTCTTAAGGTTAGATTTCATTTTCAGTCACCATGTTATGTACTTAAATACACCTACAAGTAACAACTTTCTGAATATGGGATTACCCTCACTGAAAACTGAGAAGCTTATTCCATAGATTTACATACCTTTGGGAAATTGGTGAAAACAGATATTGAGAAAAAAAAAAAAAGGTCTAATATTATGTTGTTCTTCTTGCCTGATTTGGATTCTGGATGAAGCAATTGCATACTAAATTTTCATGCTCTTATCTCAGAGAAGAAGTAAAAGAACAAATTCAAAATCCCCAATATGAAGCCAGCCAGTAGTTGAAGAAACAGACCCCAGGGCTGTGGGACTTGAAAAAATGCTATTTAGTATAATTTAATTAAAATAGTTTTGGCTATGAAATGTTAATGTTAAGATTAAGATGGTGCATATGTATAACATGCTGAACCGACTAATCCGTGAACTCAGGGGCATACTTAATGCTATCACAGTCCTCATACCAGTTCACATAATTAAAATATGAAAAAAAAAGCCAAACCCATACTAAATATGCAAGCCTCTTTTTTATACTGCTAAGAAAGGATCTGAGGACATTCCTTGGCTGATGGCTCTAGAATTTGAAAAAAAATGACATGACTAAAGCATACACTAACTGTATACAACATAAAATGCAGAAACAACAGGAAAAAAACAGGCATGGAAATGTAGAAATGAACATAATGAGAATATGGAGACAAAGGAAAAGTCAGAACACAGTGGACTGAGAAGTAACCTGCTCACTGAGCTCAGCAGTGTTTGGACTGTTTGAGTTCAGTTGGCTTGTCTGCTGAATGTCTGCTGCTACGTTCGGTTTACTTGCAGCATTTCCAGCACAATTCATACTTGTTGAGTTGATTTGGACTTCAGAGCTGGAGTTGTTTGCTTTTGGCATGCTCTGCTCCTCACTGGTGTCAGAGCTTTGCAGTTTGTTAGTACACTCTGATTCCTCAGTCACTTGTGGTTTCGTGCTAAACTTGGGCATCTTACAATTTTTGTCTACTTGGCTGTACAGGTTGGCAACAGACCTTTCTATGTCAGCTAGATTCTGGATGTTTTTCAGGATCCCTTTAAGCTCCTTCCTCCCACCGTCAGCTTGTGATGGTGAAAGCGGAGGAGGGTGTTTTCGTTCGGAAACAGGGCGAAGGGAAGACACGGGCGGCAAAGAGGTTGGGATAAACTGAACGACTGGGCGTGGCTGATTGCTAGCAGGTGATAGAGAGGGAGGCAGAGGTGGTGGGGGCGGAAGAGTGATGTGTTTATTGACAGGAGGAGGAGAAGAGGACTGAGAAGTACATTCAGGTTTATGAAGGGAGGAAAGTGGAGGTGGAGGTGGAGGTGGAGGTGGAGGAGGAGGAGGAGGAGGAGGAGGGCTCGAGGGAGGAGGTGTGGGCGGGGAAGTTGGACGTGGCTGCTGCTGCAGTGGAGGAGAAGGCGGTGGATTTTCTGGTGGGTCAGGTATGATCTCCACAGTGATATGGCATGGCTCCTCTGTCAAATATTTGGAGATGCCAGAGCTAAACGTCTTGAGAATAGGCGCAGTTGATTTCTGGCTAGCCAGGGGGAGTGGCTCATCTCCCCGGGTAATGCTAAAGCTGGGGGGCACATCTCTGCCCACAGACATTGGACTGTAGGGGTAATCGATGATGGATAGCAGAGCCTCTGAGGTCAGCTCCAGCATGTCATCACTGTCTCTATCCCTGACAAGGATGGAAGAGAGGGAGCCTGCGGGTGCTCTATTTTGCTTGAGGGTTTGCTCCTGGAAGCCCCGATGCCCAAACTGGCTGGCCTGCTCACGGAATGACAACTTGGTCTCTGTGCTGCCACTCGCGTGAAGTATGTCTGAACTCGCTGGCCTTTGCTCGCCACTCATGCCTGCCTGGAGTATCTGCAGCTCCCATTTGGCTGGGTCTATAAGAGCCTGTCTCCTTGGTACCTCATAACCATGCTGTCCTCCATGAATGCGACCAGGCATTGACCAGACGAACCCTGACCCTGCTGTGTGGGGAGGAGAAAAGGAGAACCGCTTTTCAGATGGGCTCTCCCCACGTGCGTCAGGACTGCAGAGAGGAGTGTTATCATCATAGACAGGGTTGTGGGTGGTGAGTGGGTTGTGGTCAGAGAGGAAGGTCACGTTGCTCTCTGACTTGGGTAAGTTGACACGGAGTGCTCCGTTGCTGCGGGCTGCAATGGCACGACAGGCAAAGGTGCTAAGAATCCTCTGGTGGTCAGCCTCCTCAATGACAGAGTTTTTAGCCCTGCCCCGGCAAAAGATGGAGGTGAAGAAGAAAAAGACTTGAAACAGATAAAGACTGATAGGTTTGAGCTGAATAAAGCAAAGAAACAAAGGGTGAAGCAAAAGCAACTGTGTGAAAATATCTTGACAGACAGTCTCTCGTAGTACTGTGACTCAGAAATTTGTTTTGGGTTTTGGATGATTAAATATCTGCACAGTATAAAGTAACTAAAGCGCATCTGCGTTCTTAAGAAATCAAAATAACAATGATTTGAATAAACTTTGCAAACTTAAAGAAATTACAAATCAAATATTGAAATTGTGAAATTATTACACTGAAATATATGAGCTCAGTAGCCATCATGAAGCTATGCAGGATGCATTAGTGCCATCGGTCACAGCACAGAGAGATGTAGAGAGCAGTGAAACTAAGAGCAGCACAGTACAAAAGGACACAACAGTCTAATGGGACGCAAGAGAGGAGACATCTACGGCGATATCTTATGAAATGCACTACCTCTAACCAAACTAAGCCTTCTCTTTTTTCTCACAAGAATGAAGTACGTGCATGAAAACCCACTAGGTCTTTCCACCCTTCATCAAGATCAATTACCAAACAAACTATGCCACTTAAATTCCAGAATTTAAGTATATTAATTATGTGCATATGTTTAAAAAAAAACAACTAAGCAGGCAGGGCAACAAGGACATTTTTCTTGCAAAATTTACACACAATATTGTTCATATTTATTGACCTCTGTCATGTTTTGGCATTACTTACTGCAGTCTGAATCCAGAGAGACAAGGGAATTGAAAATGAATGAGAAGATATAAACACAGACAGATGGTAAGAAGACTAAAGGAGAAATATCAGAGGTGTTAATGGAAAATGAAAACATGGATGAAGCGTCAACACGAGGGTACGGCAAGTTTCTGCATTTTAAACTCAAATACCAGACTGATTAACTTCTGTCTACATTTGACACCATGCTGCGTGCATACAGTATCACTTTGAGAGCTTTTGTTTTTCACAGATGGAAATGTATAATTTTAACAATACGATTGTTTTTAAGAGAAACTCTTCTTCTTCCTGGTGAAAACTGGGAAATAAGCCCCGTGTACACAATTCTTAGCTACAATACAATAATGCCCATAAAAATTCTACTTATGCTACAGAATCAAATGTTTCTGCCTACATTTAAAAACTGCGGTGGGCATATTGTGGACGCTCTTCGTAGCTTAATGTTAGGTTTACATTTTTTTTTTAAATGCAAAAGTGACATTAGAAGCAGTATTCCTTGAACGAGCTGAAAATCAAAATTGCTAAGCCCATTACCTCAGCAGTTTAAATGTAGTCTCATTTAATCTGCAAACATTAACATTTCATCACACATTTAGGGCAGGATTTAATATTAAAGCTGAAATTCGATTGTGCTGATGGCAAAACACTTTGGACCAAAGTTAGGGAAGCACTTAATGTAGGCTACCGCAGGTTACATTTTTAAAGGTAACTCGTGACAATCCTTGAACTTGGACATTATTCTGTATTTGTTTCTATTTCTAGGAAACCATGTGCTTTTTTATTAACCTAAACACACTCTTACCTTAAGAGAGGTTCTTGCTAAAATGCATAGGCACTCAACTAGAAACACATAGATAAGCTAAAATCTAGTCACCTGCTGTGCTGCACCATACGGTGCAGTTTGCAGACATCAAAAGTGGATCATAGTTACAGAGACAACAAGCAGAGAGATCCTTTGATGCAACTATTAATGTGTCTCAAGCAGTGTGGAGACTCCTGAGGTCAACATCCAGAGCAGCCAGTGGCCATTTCAGAAAAGAGGATTGATAGAGGGGTAATATTTTTTTCTGAGCTTGAATAAAACACTCACAGGGAGAAACCTGCGAGGCCAGATGCAGCAGCATCTGATCATGGGGACTAGAAGAAATGCGTGGGATGGGAAAATACTTAGAGGACAAGCTTGACTCACATGCTGCTGTCGCCCAACTCTTCATAGAGGTTAGCAGTGGGAGCAGCTGCCGGAGCTGCTTTCCCTCCCGGAGGTAAAGCCATCTGAATCCTGGCAGTTTTGGCACACTCTGCTTGTCGCCTGCACAAAGTGTTAATGTGGTTAAGAATAAACCAGACACATGACTTATGCATCAAGTCTCTACTATGAATTACCCATGTGTTTTGAGAAGTCATTCTCACCCCAGAAAGAGGAACACGAAGAGATATTCTACATGCAAAATTCAGTTTTAGCAACATCAAGCTTTTAAATTATATAAAAAAACCTCCAAAACCATTTTGTAGCAATTAGCTGTGGTATTCTTTTTTATTTAATTTATTCACTAATGTTAGTCAAGCAATTTTATTAAAATGTATCAAAACAAATAGCACTTGTCTCACACTGCATTTTAGGCTGATTTGTTTTGTCAATTGCAGAGTAATAATATAATAATCAGCTTCTTTTGGCTTGCAAGGAAACAGTCAATGCTGCTGCAGTTGTGCAAGTAAAATTTGAAAAGCATTTTCATGGTTTTCAGCTATGTGCTAGATGATTCAAGCTTATTTCTTTTGAAATACAGACTAAAAATTATGCAAATGCAGTATACTGTATGTGTAGCAAAAGACATGATGAATGTGCCAACTCAACTGTATCCAGCAGAGTGACAAGCGTAACTATAATTTTTCTTTTGAATCTAATCAAATGTTCCACATTAAGAGAAACTTTTCAGCCAAAAATGCACATTCAGTATGTGACCTAGAAGATGAATCAGCCTTGCTCTGTGCCCTTAATGCTAGAGACACCTCAAAAGGTTGGCATTAGCTGGCAAGCATTCTGTTCATCACATTTTCACAATATTCAACTCGACTTTAAATAACTAATAATAAAGATGAAAGAAAGTAGTGTCACACCCACACAGACACACACATCGAGCAATGAGCAGCCACTTGTAAAACATGAGAAATTACTTACTCTTTGAACCTGATCACAGCGTTTTTGATGCAGAGCAAAGGAGATGAAGCAAGAAGAGAGAGAGATGGGGGACAAAAAAAGACATGAAATTACATAACTATAATTACATAATTTGGCACGAGTGCAACCTCACAATTTCGATGCTTTGAGGTATTTATCTAAACGCAAAATAAGTAACATTTTTATACTTCAAATTGCCGTTACGTATTCACAACTACATTCAGGTGCTCGACGTGAATGTGCAAATTGATGTCTTAAATAATATATTCATCATATATTCAAATTTAGACAACAATGAATTATGTTGACAAACACAACTGAGAAAATTAACTTTACCAGAGTAATGTCGCCACCAACAAAGCACCATCTGCTACGACAGTTTGTGTGTTAAGTCTACTGTCACCATCAATAGTTTTCTGCTGTGTGTCTGATCTGTGCATTTGAATAAGTACAACCGCTCTACCCATCTGCCATGAATAAATATTTCTCAAATATTACCGTTTACGGTACACTTGCAGCATACCAACATTTAGATAAGAACCTGGCTCTTGCCAAATGAGAGTTCAATTATCACACCAGTCTGAATGATGCTTCAAAGCAAAAAGCGTCATATTTTTTTGAGGATTGCACTGCGCGCATCTAAGGGAGAGAGGGCACCGTCTGTTGTGTGTGTCGGGCAGAGATGATTAAGTAGCATGAAGACGCACTGTGACGGTCACAATTGGCTGTAGATGTTTGTCACAAATGAGTGTTAATTAATCTGCTTTCACACAGCATGAGCAGGGAGATTAGCCCAGCAGAGTGCGCAGTCAGCATGTCTGATGAGAGCGAGAGATACCGAGGAAGAGAGTTGGAAGTGAGAGAGAGATAGAGAGACGCACACACAAAAAGCTAAAACTAACGCAAGAAGTGCTCTTATTTGATCTTAAATACACTTTTCAGTCATGCTGTTTGCGGTTTCGCTGGCTTTGCTCTTACAAGCCACAGGAAACACGATATTAACATTAAGCTACATTCCTACAATAACTATCTGATTCGTCTGTGCAGAGCAAACCTTTCAATAAAACCCAGAGTGACATGCAATATCTCCTAAGACGATGACCTGCTAAATTAAAATTTATTCGCTGACATCCAGTTAAAGCCTAGTGATTATTATAGTAATACTGACTGTTTGTAGGTGACCATGACGATGAGAATGGCAGGGATGCAGCAAAGGATAATGATGATCGCCAGGGCCAGGAGGGCACCCTCTGTGTAGCCGACAGCCTGGGCAGCCTTTTTCACACTGGCTACAATATCTGGGGAGCGAATCTCAAGAATGCGGCCACCTTCACCCAGGTATGGCTGAAACTCCTTATTGATTTCCAGCACGTTCCCATCAAGAAATCTGTATTCCACATACAAAAAAGACACTTACTTTGTAATCAATGTCAATGTCAAGAGAACATAATAAATGTTTTTTATTAAATATTATTAAAAATGTGTCAAAAGGCAATACATTAGAGTTCCTCAACATGAAGCATGATGATGAATCATCTAAATCTGCAGCTGTTTTACTTCTTAACAGGCTTTGTAACAAGTTTATACTCTTTTACACATTATGTTTTGCCACAGCAGTCTCCTGCTTACAGAGGACAGCTCTAATTACTCACTGTAGGTAGTTTACAGCTAAAGGAACCTATTTTCTAAAGAATGTGTAAATAGAGAGAGTAAATACTGAACACAAGACATGAATCATACTGATCATAATAGTTAGCATTAAGTGCAAATGAAAAGCAATAATAATACTTACACTTTTCTACAAGTGTCAATTTACACTTGTTTTTCTGCATAAACCAATGGCAGTATATGCGTCAATATTTTCAAAAAAACATACATGCATACAAAGCAATTCATTTAGAGAGGATGCAATGTTACTATGCAAAACAAACCATTCCAAAAGGACAAGCGTACATACATATGTAACCACCATCACTTTTGTTTTTCTGTAAGGTGATGTGACAATCTGTACTCTAGACTGTGACAAGTGGGAATAGGTGGAATACGACTTAATGCACTGATCCACTTACAATGTTGTATTTCTCCCTCTCCTCCTGTGATCTGGCTATATGACATACAATTACCCCACAACACTGTCAGACATGCGCTGCATGCATAAAAAGCCCATCTCCGCTAATCTAAATTACTTTTTCTGACAGTATCTGTATCTAAGGACGTAGATCTTATTAAATCAAGGATGTAGCAGACCTCTTTTAAAATTAGCTTGTAAGTCTTAAAAGCTAGAAGTACGAAGATGTCAAATAATTTAGGTAAAAAAAAAAAAAAAAATAATAATCTGATTTTATTGGATGTGCCACCTTACGTGAAATGATGTGGTGATCCTCCTGATAGTGGAGGGCATAAAGGTGTTTGTAGATTAATTTACTACCACACTGCTTAAAGAAATGCAGAAATGCTTTGCAAAATATAAAATCATACTTTGCAAACAATGAATACCACTTTTTAAATTAAATATAGTGCCAAAACATCATGTTAAATGTTTAAAACTGTTACTTTTTTTAATGCATGATTATTTCAAATTTAATGCCATAGACAGCCTTTTAAAAGTCGGTGCAGGATCGTGTTTGCCACTGTGTTACATCAATTCTCCTTTTAAGAATTTGTGACCAGAGCAAACCAATTAAGTTTTCCCATTCTTGCTTAATATATTTCTATTGCCCAATAGTCTGGGCGTCCATAGCCACAATTTCCCTTTCAGAATTTAGGGCAGTCTGGATTGCATGAAAGTACTATTTTCAATTATATATTGTGTTTAAATAACTTACAAATTATTGAACTCTGTTTTTGCAGAGGACAGTTCCAGGCTGCTAAGCATAAAGTACACGGATGCAATTTAATCAAGAGTGGAAGCCGGAACTCAGAATGGGCATGCTCTCATATGCTGGTCAAGTTTATTAAGATCTGTTGCTGATCAGTTCAACAGAAGGGATGGGAAACATCAAAACAGTGAGTGAAACACTTTCCTGAGGTGCCAGGAAAGAAGGCCAAGGTCTTCTTTCCTCTGATAGGATGACAAAGTATCTTGTACTTATTTCTACTGTGGTGCTGTGCGCCTCTTTGGTGTTTAAGCACACTCTCTGGCAGACTGTGGGCACTCTCTTCAGCTTTATGTCCGGAAATAAAAGGAATAAAAATGTATTGCTGGCATATCTCCCAGCCCTCAGAACAGTCTTTGAGGTACTGCAATGATGGGTGGATGGACTGATTGAAATATTCCCTGCTTCAGTCTCACTTTGTCCCTCCATGACCTCATTGCTTCTTTTCTCCCTTGTATCTTCCACTTTCCTATGACATATTTCAGTTGCAGTGCACCAGCAGCATAATCAAAGTCTTTTAAAGAAAATAGAGGCAGTGAAGTGAAGATGCTGTAGAGGAGGAAGCTAAAGGGAGTCTGAAAAAGACATATTTGCTGACTCACTGCTTGAACAGAGGGTAAAAAGAGGCAGCAGGGAAAACATGCAGCACAGCGGGGACATTAGGACATCAATTTAAACCAAATGGTGGACTGAACTTCTTGTAACACAATTCACCCACTCACTTGAAAAGCTCCTGACGTGAAATGGCCCTGTTCGTGAGTGGGTCAATGGCGTATACCATCAGGTCCGACTTAGAGTAGTCTTCTAACTCAAAGCCATCACCATGGCGACGTGGCCCGATAGCCTCTACAATCACCTTGGCACCTGGAATCTGGTCCTGGACGTGGCGCTCCAGAATACTGAGATACACACAGATGAAACTTTGTATCCTATACTTTACATTGTATAAATACTATATGTGCAAATACATACACAAACATTTTATACACTTAAAGAAAAAAACTGAGAAAGATGAACTATAGAAGGTAAAATCCAGGTTCAAACAATTTCTAATGCCCAAAAGCAATATGACAGCCACCAAGATTAAGTACTCCAATCTGGCAGTGATTATCCCATTGGGCAGCAGTTTGTCTCTCCACATTGGGCTCTGGCAAAGCAAGGCTCTGATAATCCTTTTCAGGAAGGGAAAAATCCACACCTCAAATTACAGCCAATAAAGGAAAGCCTTGCCGTCTGCCTTTGCCAAGGTGGATAAACAGTTTGAGCACTCAGGTAAAATGGCCCTGGATCATCATCAGCGCTGTGCAAAATCTCAAATGGCATCACTGTAAAGAGCGTAACACAACTAATGTCTCTGTTTTTCAGCCTAAAGAGCTGTGTCACTTCTGTGAGAAAGACACAGTAAGCTCTTAAAAAACAGCTATTAACACCCATTTGCCTTTCAGATTGACTAATTAAGCTAAACACTGTGCCCTAAGAGCGGTAAAAAGATGCTTCATGAATCTCTATCATTAATTAATCTAAACTGGGAGAACCGACTCTAGAGGACAGACTCATCTGTCTAATTGGCCCATCCATGATCTTAATTGATCAGTCAATGTTTACTGTACACAAAAAAGCTGCCCAAAGAAAAACCCTACACAGGTTTTTATGAAATATCCATCTTTACTAATGCATATTTGCTTTTATTAATTGTTCAACCAGCTGACTCATATACATCACTCTAGTCCTTACATTTTTAATGGAAATTAAAGTTCGGCCTTGAGCCTTATGTCGCAATAGACAAAACTCAAGCTGAATTTTCTTTTCTGTGCCAGTTTTAGCTGGGAAATCTTTTAAAGAAAATAATTTCAGATGAGAAAATAATAGGTTGCATAGCTGAGATTAAAAGAAAAAATATTGCAAAGGACATTTGATGAAAGGAATACTTCATCTTACACATGATCTTGCATGGGGAAAAGACAGTGTGTTAGTAATACATACTGCTTCTTTTCATTAAAATTTGTTTTTTTTTTAAACTTATGTTTAATGAAATGTGAGCTGTGTCCTACCTAATGAGCTCTTCCCTCTTCTCTTCCACTAAAGTGGGTGGGACAGTGGACACAACAACCTGCATGTCCAATGCGTTGACCACAGAAACCTGGGAGAAAGTGTGAGATAGCGGGAAAGACAGAAAAGAAAGATAAAGTTTAAAAATGCACCGTGTAAGCCAGTTATCGACACATCCTACCGTATGTTAAATCATTGAAATGCTTCTTTAGGTGGACCCACTAGTCGCCAGCTTGTATCTGTGCCATGCAGCAAACTTAAGAGCACCTAATTCCAGTGCCAGAGTTAAGTGCATAGGCAACAGCCTCTGTGCTCTGAAGCCAAATATCCCATGTGGCTCCTGTGAAATTAGGTTTCCCCTTGAAAATTAACAAGCACCATAGTTAAGCACTCACTGGTCTCTCATATACAGCCAATGTCCCACACCCTCCTTCCGTCTCGTTAGAGGCTTGTTAGCTAGACATATTTCACTGCAGTAAAAAATAAGCTTGGCCACAGTCAGGAAAGATAAGCATTGAACTGGGGGCAAAGCTGAGCCCAAACACAGCGGGTGCATGCGTAAATGAGTGGGAAACAGACATGCACTCAGAAAAAAACACAGACATATATTTAGATGAACGCGCACGCAGGGAGAAGTGCATAATGTTTGCAGAGCTAATACTCATGGATAAAAGAAAGACTTTAATTGGATCATCAGCTAGTGGCAGAGGCCACATATCGGGGTGTGTTGTACGTCCTGTGAATAATTCAATAGACTGGAACCAAAACATTTAATACTCAACAGAAATAAAAACAAAGCAAAACAAAACAAAAGGCAGGGATCATCATGTAAGATCATAAACCACAAGGTATTATGAAGAAAAGCTTTGCACGAAACAAATCAAACTCGCTCTCACGTATTAACATCATTTCTGAGGTTGTTTCTTAACGCAAGATCTTTTTTTTAGAAACTGTCTCAGGTTATACACATTTATATACTGACATGGACATTAACAACACAGAAGTATAATATTCCAAATAACTCAAATAACAGGTCACACTGATATCAAACCAGAAAAAAAAACACATCTGAAAAGAATTATCTATAAAACTTTTTTTTTTAATATCACAAAAGAAACTCTTTTACTGAATATGTTTCTGCATCTTTTTATTTGAGGATGACATTACAGCCTATTACAGCAACACATATTTACCAGAATTTCTTTTATGTATTCTTCATGGGTTCTCAATTGGGCTGATGTCAGGAGATGATGGAGGCCCACGCAATGATTTTTCTTCCTTTTGTGTGCCTCCCTCGGTGGTTTGGCATTAGGCTCAGTCCGATACTGTATCAAGTTTTTTCGAGTTTTGTGGGACTTGATCCCTCGCTTGTAATACTGATAACTCATTTGACCTCAACTTTCCTTAATATGCTCTTAGCACTACTTGTCAGTGCTCTAAATCCCCCACAAATCTTTTCATGGTTCAGTCATCTTTCTTCACCTTTCAAAAAATATCAATGTTCTCATGCAAAACACAGCACTCGTGCTTTTTTCGTTAGAAAGATTTCCCTTTCTTCAAATACTGCATGACAGATGTGACTCGCTTATTAATCTGATACAACCTCTTTAAGTAGTCTTAATGAAGACCCTCTAATGCAGTGAAGTAATTAACAATGCCGAGATTCATACAGTGATGCAAAAGAGATGAGAAACAGAACAGGCAGATAAATGAAAACCTTATTATGCTAAAATCCTACTTAAATGTCTAATTTGGACCATGATATGAAACAAAGTACACACTCAAGGCATACTCCAGTATTGTACTTTGATATAGTCCCAGGACTTTAGTTTAAAATCTGTGTAGCTCTTATGGGTCTTGCTCCTAAAAATAGAGATCATACTTCCTCTAATGAACCTGCAAATCTCATGCATTTTCAGTTTGGCACATAACCCACTGTGGAAAACAAACTGCAACTTTTTACACTGTGGTTTTTAAACAGATTCAACAAATAAATTCTAAAGTGTTCAATTAACAAGCCTGAGATATGGTAAATATGGTAATAAGCCAATTCGTCCTGATTTTTACAGTGTTTTTGCTTGTTGTAGTTTAATATGCTACATATGATACACAGACAAAAGTAGTTTTTTTTTTAATTGAAATCCTGCCCACAGCCTACATGGATCTTTCTCAAACTGTTAAACATTTGAGCTCACAAAGCCAACATCTAAGATTACAATAATTCTGAAAAGAAAAAACCAAAAAAAAAAAAAACCAAAACAAAGAAATTCCACAACAGTTTGCTAAAGGCAGTGCTGCACTTCCTTGTGACTACTCAATGCACTGGCACAGCCATATTCACCTAGGCTTTCCTGTATAAATGAATTGTGGACAGTTGATGCCTTCGCTGCATAAATATGATGCTGTGGAAGCCAAAAAACCCACAACCAATAAGCCTCTGCCATGCCAGCGGCATGCAAGTCAAAGATTAGCAGGGAATCCTATATTTATCTCTACATCCCTGCATCACATGGAAAGCATCATATGGATACTTACCACCACTTCAGCGCTGTTGCTAAGACCTTTTCCATAGTCATCAGTAGCAATAACCTCGAACTTGAAGTAGGATCTGCGCATGTTCCGAAACATGATGGCCGACTTGACGATACCAGTGTAGGTCTCAATGACAAAACTGTCCTGACCCTCTGGGGTGGGTGGGATGATGAGGCGGTATGCCATGGCACTGTAATTCCCAGTGTCCTTATCGGTGGCCTGTAATACAAAACACCAAATAATCTCAGAAATATTAAAAGTTTAAGGTTATCAAAAAGAGAATATATTAATCAAGTCTTTCAAAAAAAAAAATGGTGATTGTGCATTCCATGACAGAAACCAACTAGTGAAGGAAAATTTGAAGTTTACTTGTTGGTTGGATTGCAGGTTGGGAGAGGCTGCCAATCTAGGTCTCTAGACCTGTATGAAAGTGGTATTAGGCTAGAGTCACACTAGGGAAAGTTATTGTGACCATGTGAGATCAACTTGCAATCTATGTCTTCAAAGACAGGAAGCAGGTCTGAGACCACTCGCAGTCAAGTTGCCATCTTCAAACAGACTTAAAACAAGGACAGATGGCAATAACACAGAGTCACCCCGCTATCAGCTTGCACGTAAGCATCAAGTTGGCACTTGCATGCAATCTGTTTCCGATTAACTGTGATAACTCTCAAATCTGTTCTCTCTTTCAAATCTTTTGCCGTCTACATCAGAAGTGTAGCACTGTACTGGAACCAGGGGAAAACTTGTCACCTGTGAATCGCACAGAATCAATCACAACTCTCTAAGCTACAGATTGGGTCAGATCCAAGTGGAGCAAATTTATAATTTTCCCATTTACAAATAAAACAGGCAGGTAGTTCATTTAATCAATGACCAGCATGCTACCAAGACCAGAGCGAATAGGACACCCTCCAATAATTTAGTTCTATAAGCGCCAATTTAACCTAAAAAGCGGGCTGAGGTGCATTCGTTTTACTGTTATTCCTCAGCTATTCTGCAGCCCTGTGACAAATCAAAACACAAACAGATCTTTTTATTCCCTTTGTTCAGTAAGTTATTAAAATATGTTTGGACAGCATTCATAGATAGCCATTTTACTGCTATTGGTAGAGTCTATTAATAATTCAGTGAACACACCAAAAAAGAAAAGGAAACAAATGGTATAAGAGTGGAGCTCTTCATTTATGTTGATCTACTGGGGGATTTGTTTATAATTTTATTCCAAGCAGGTGTTCTCTAAAGTAGCTGACAAGAGAGAAAAGAGGTGCAGCTGGAGGCTCGTAAGTTATCTCCCCCTCATGTGGTTTGTTTCAAGCTGCCACAGCTTTACCCATTGTTATCCACTGTAAAAGGCTAAAGAGATGGCGAGGGTTGCTGCCAAATCTGAGTATTCTTAACAGTTTCTGAATGATTTCTGTAAAACACCTGCAACTACATTTATGAGCTTTTACATCACATTATTACCTGTAAGCTGACATGTAAAGCTTATTAGAAAAGGCTTGCTTATTCACACATCCAGCAGCTACAGATAAAAAATTACTGTTGATTTGGTGCAGCGCTTCTGGCCAATCCCAGTCGCAACTTTCTTTTTGAAAAAATAAAACAAAAAACAAAACAAAACAAAAAAAATGCTCACTGATGGAAATATCTGGCTCTTCAGCTGCTAAGCAATAGGTTACACTACGTTTACCAGCTTGTGGCTAACACTCCGTCTGCCATTTGGTGCTGTATACAGAGATGTTTTTTGCTCAACAGCTGCCTGCTTTGGTCAAAATGATCCTGCGAGAGTAGTTAGATTGAATCAAACCACTAAATCTGTAGCCAGACAGCGAAACAGTGACCTGGAACGCACTATAAAGCTCCATAAAGCAGTGGGGAACTGCAGAGGCAGGTGGTAATTCATCACTATGAGCAATACCTAACATCAGTTTTGATACATCATATTGATCCTTAAGTCAAAATTCTGAAGTGCATTACATTTTAGTAATGACTGTTTCCTGTTTGAGTGATTTTAGGGGTAACTGTTCTAAAATCAAAACCAAACCAAAAAGATAATTGATGATTCTCACAATCATCCAATGCATAGAGATTTTAATATATGAATCTTGTCAAAGCATTTTATCGAAAAGCAACAACAGAATTCACCCATCAACCTCTGAGGCATGTGTTCTGATTGGCGACTGAGCTTACAGGCAGGCATCAATTTTCACAGTACTTGTCTTGGGAAAGTGACACTGATAAATAGGAGCAATCTCTTTTTTTCTGCAGCGGTTCGCACAGGAGAGGGTTGGAGCTAAGGGGGGGGGGGGGGGGTGCAAGGTCCCAATGGAAGGACTGCATAAATCAACAGAGTGAGATATCCTCGCTGGACAAAATTTGGCCGAATATACTTTATCTGAGCATCATTTATGCATGCTAAAGGTTTTATGGACACCGGGGAAAAACTGTCACTTAGAGATGTTTGTTTCCAAGCTGCCATGAGACAGCAAAGGGAAAATATATGGACCCTAAAAGCTAGGTCAATATTAAAAACCTGTCATATTACCAAATATGGACTTATAAAGTAGCCTTGAGAGCTTGAGGCATTTCTTTCTTTTTTCCCCCTCATTTGCTTTCAGTCTAGGAGGGAGTGAGTGTCACTTTTTTTGGCAACCTCTGAGTCCTAAATAGTAAATACTATTACTACCACTACTACTATCTACTCTGTAACATTTACATACTCCTAAAATTACACTGCACAAATAAAGCAAAGATGTCTGATATTGGAAAATTCATCTACTTACATAAAAATGTCTGCCAGTTAGTTGGTGTAACTCTTTTTTTAGTATTATATTATGTTACTGTTTCTGGAAAGAGTCTATCAGCAGAAGGTCAGTAGTGTCATAAATTTGTTATTACTTTTAAATATTATCCCGAGGGAGAGCAAGCGGCAATGAACTTTCTGAAATAATGTTTCACACCAGCAATATTCCAAAGAATCATGGGCCTCTGGGGGAATCTGTTGTGGTCCAAGAAAGTTTGAGAAACATTTAAACTATATTTCTTTTTCCATTCCTTTCTCGTTTTAGTAGTAGATGAAGATAATCCAATTAAGAAATGGGACTAAAATATAACACTAAGCCATTTTTCAATAAAGAGAAATATCCAATATTAAGGAAAAATGTATGTGAGCCTCTCAGACTGCCAATTATTTTCAAGATGAAGTCAGAACCATGTGTTCAGTCAATGGAATGAGAACCAGGTATCAGTGGGCACCCTCTTGCTTTTATTTAGGCAACAAACCCACACATCTGAGCAAGTGAATAATAAGATGGATGATATTCATGAGGAGGAAAAGAATTGCTAATGTTCACAAGGTTGGAAAAGGTCTCAGGGTCTTTCTTACATTGGCTAATTTTCATGTTTGTCAGCCCACCATCAGGAGAACCCTAAACAACAAAGGTGTGCATGGCAGGGCTACAATGCAAAAACAATGCCCCCTGTCGGTCTGCAGTTTGTACATCATATGGAGAAAGCCAAAAGGCTGTTAGAATAATGCTTTGTGTAGGCATGAAACCAAAATAGAAGTTTTTGGTTTAAATGACACGCGTTGTGTTTGGAGAAAAGAAAATGCTGCATTCCAGCATTTCATGCTATGAAACAGGGTGGCCCTGTTTGGCTGCAAACTGGCTGGGACAACTTCACTGTCACTGGAAAATAAAGAATATGTTAGGCCATGTGGTGGAATGGGTAAAAACTCCATGTCAGGTTGGAGGAGTAACTACCAGAAACATAGCTACAGTTACTAGCGTCCAAGAGGATTTTGACAGTAGCAGATATAGAATATTAGATGACCTTTTACAAGATATAATTAACCACGTGTAATGTTTAATTTTAGGTTTGTTTCAACTCAGTTCTCCAAGTATATTATTAAAGGGCTTGTGTATTGATGTGCTAATGTTTTAGGTCATGTTTATGTTTATGTTACATAGTGTCGAGAATTCTAAAGAGTTCACAAACTTGCATGTTGGTGTCAATTACAAGTTAATCAAGAGGCAGAAAAGATGGAGACAAAGCTCTACTGATCATGTGTTTTATGGAAATCCACAGTTTTTGAAATTTAAAAGCTGCAATAATTCCCATCCCTGCCTGAGGTCTCAGTTTGTACTTTACTACCTGCCTACATCTAACTATTATAGTGTATTTTGCAAGATTTCCTTTTTTCTTTTCACTCCCTCAGTCTTCTATGGGCTTTAGTTTGGTACCTTTTTTACATCAGAAGGAGAGCCCGAAAAAGCTCTTCCTGCAAGGCAATTATCAATATAAAACCCTGGGAGCACAGCAGAGTGCAGACCTTGTCTTTTTCTCGCTATGAAGATTTCTCACTTTTGGTCCAGCACCTGCAAAAAAAAGTCTTTAGATGTGCATAGCTTTTCTGCTTGTACCCACAAGTACAAGTGCACAGACTGTATAACATTCAGGATTATACAGGCTACTGAAAAATAGATTATGTCTTAAAGGATATAAGTCATTTAAGGGCATTTATGCCTTTTTTATGAGATCACAGATATAATATTACTACTACTACTACTATAACTATTACTACTAGTACTCCTAATGTTGATACATTTTTGCAGGTAATGCATGAAGTAGCTCTTTAAAAACTCTGTGGACAAACACGATCCTAAATGCACAATCATACCCATAATGCAGAGTGTAAAGAGTATTGTACACAATGAAAAAGTGAAATCTTCTTGGTACAACAGGCTGACATTCAGCGGGATGTCCAGCCATGCATCTGAGAACACACTGAGATTACACTGCTCAGCTTACTCTGATCCCAGCTGTCTGTGGAAAGGCAAGCAGTGGGGGGAGTGAAACTGACAAAGAGATGTTACAAGCAACAGGGGAGGAGACCAAACTGTGTTGCACAGAGCAAAAACTGTCACACCATGGCTGAAGGGTAAGTGTAACAAAAAAGATCAGAGTCTTTACTTTTTATACAAAAGCAGCAAAAACAACAACGACAACAAAAAAAACCCCAGTTAATTGTTTTCTTACCACTATCTTGAGCACTGAGCTGAAGATCTTAGTGTCTTCTGCCACACCGCCTATGTAGAGCTTCCTGGAGAAGACAGGAGGGTGGTCGTTCTCATCCAGAACCTCAATGAACACCTTGGCTGTGTTAGCTGCAATAAATGACACCAGAAGGATTTCAAATCCTGTTTAAGCTTTTATTTGTTAGTTCTTAGTTTCTTTCTTAGTTTATGCAGGGCTCAGCTTGCATACTTAAGTGCACCTACTTTATTCATGCTTCCGCTGACCCGGGTTAGCACCACGCTTACAAAAGTAGAGTCGGGACATGCAAGCTAAGAAAATTTATGTCATCGAAATAAAGTAAACATAGCTCATTTGATTATTGGAACTGGAGTTGTCCAATTTGTCTTCAAAACTGGCATGTCATAATAATTTTTTCATGGACATCAGCCGGTCTACAACTTCAAAAGAAGGCCTGAAATAATTTCCCAGAATATTTTGAAAGTTATTTATCACTGAAACCATCACACAGTGTCAACAAAGTTGTTTTTTTCTCGTTCTTTCTCCGTAATCGACACCTCTGGATAGCTCTCACAGATTGTAAATAAAGTCAGGTGGGCAAACAGGTGTGTGTTTTTCCCTTATTTGAGGAACGCATCTTTGACCCCTTTTGTTTTACTTTAAAATTGATGCACCCACCTTTTGCCTGACTGAAAATAGTTTTCTGCGGGTATATTCCCCTTCTTCTTTGGAAAAGCCCTCTTTATTTAGTAGTAATTTCAAGCTGCACTGCAATAACCCTTTGAAGTGGATTTGAATTGCATGCTGAAAAGAGAAACGTGTTCCCTTATTACTGTCTCAGCCCCTTCCAACAAAACAGCGCGAGAAGCTATTTTGGCAAAGCCGACAACTTTGGGCCAGTAATGAGGAGGTTAATTTTGTTTTGATTGCAGCAAATATTCAGCATGGGGAAAAACTGAGTCTGAAGGATGTTGATGACTTCTCTCTCACTGCCCCCATAAGCAGATCAGGAAAACAACTGAGCCATTTTGCATTCTGTTTACCAACCAATAAGCAATAACACTCACACACTGAGTGGAAAATTGCTCTGTTAAATAATAAAACTTGATGATGAAATCTTAACTTCGAAACCATTATTTTTAAATGGGGTCTACCTTGTTGAGAGGTTTATTCTTCCTACAACTTGGTGCATAAAAATGCCATCAATAAAAGCCAGTGGAAGCTTAAGAGGCAAGCATTTTGCACATTATTGGGAATAATAATTTGAAGGGCAGCCAATAATCAAGCTGCAAGAGGGTCCCTGGAGTTACAGGAAACACTGCGAGAGGCAAGGAGGCATAAAATTGCGCATAATACTAAATTTGCTGGTTAAGTGGCCTTTTTGTGAGGCTTCTGAAATATTCATTCTGTCCCTTTAAAAAGAAACACATGTACAGAGTATTTCATCTGCCTAATTTGTCATAGTTACACCAATGCAATGTACAGCATAAATATGAAGAGCGGAAAAAAATCAAGACTGCAATTTAGGTTAAAAAAAATTGCAGTGTCAAGGACCATTTTTCTTCTAGCGAGATAAAAAAAAAAAAAAGTAAAGCCATGTGGCATTGGCGCTAAGGATGCACCAGGGGAATTGGACAAACAAAACACAGCACATCAAAATTATAGGGACAAAAGCTGTAGTGTGAGACATCGCGGGAGGACTCGAGGGAACGGGGAAAGAGGTCTGCAGAGTGTCTCTCTCCTCCCGCTCTTTGCAGAAAGTGGCCATCCTCCATCAGCACATAAAAACATAAATATAGTCTCTCCGGCTCACACTCTGGACACTCATAAAGATGCATGAACAAAACAAACCTATTATGAGAAGAGGAGTGCTTCTAAGCCCGTCTAGGTTTGAGTGCATTATTATTTAGAAAACATGAAAGTAAATATTGTCTTAGTCTGGGTTATTATATTGTATGCATGCATGTGTGGATCCTGAACATTTGCATACATATGTAAGGTACTGGACCCTAAGAGGGTCACTGGTCCACTAATTGATAAAAACACGTTAATGAGAAGGAAGATGCTGTGCCTCACGGGGCCCTGATCATTATAACAAGAGAAGTATGACGAGTGAGTGCACTCATTCAAAACGGGGTGCCTGCTTACAGCGTACTTGTTAGAGAAGCTCTCTTCTTTGTGGGTATACAAGTGTTGATTACTTTTAATTATGGTCATTAGTATGTGAGAGACACAGTATGACAAAAAAAGAGCAGCAAACCATCTACTAAACCTTATTTATTGTTAGAACACTACCCATCATTATACAAAACATGAATGTCAGTAAACAGAACCATAAACGAGCCTAATGATATTCCAGCTAGAGCATGGCTATCAAAGAGAGAGCAGTCTCAAGTCTCCGGAGTTATTTCAAACCTCCACTGTGACAGTGGAAGCATCCAGCAATTTATGCATATTTCTCAAACAGGCAATCAAACAATCATGCCCACTTCACACAGCAATGGTATGCTGGAAGTATTTTTAAAGTTTTAACTTTTCTCTCAAGCAACTTCTGTCACTTTTCATGAGTTATGTCAAGAACAATAACATGAATGCCTTAAAGGAGAGACTACCTAAACTCACCATGTAAGTGGAATTTCTGGACAGAAAGAAAAGACACTGGGATAGAAAAGGAAGAAACTGTGACAATCGGTTTTTGCCATGCTTCAAGAAGCACCCTTGCCAACCAACATATTCTGCAGTTTTTTTTTTTTCTAGTACACCGAGGCCTTAAGAATGGGAACACGCACAAATTCCATTAAGTGAGAATTTGCCATGATTAATGTTTTCTCACCCACCCTCGTTATGTGGTGATTTGTCTAAATTAAGAGAAATGGCCTATTTTTTCCATTGCTAGATCTTTTTGAGGAATTTTGACAAAGCATTTTTAACAATTTGTGATATTACCGGACACTGAAGCTTTTATTTCTCATACTTTGAACATTTTTATTAAATCACCATAACTACAAGATGAACATCAAATCTGTTGACACTGTTAAATAGTGTGTTAAAATAGCAGTTTCAATAGGCATAAAATGGTATTTCTTCAACAATAAGGTGATTTGCAAATAGATATTAGCTGAAAACTTGGCATATCTATGCATGGTGTGCAGCATGTTTTGAGGAAATATGAGGAAATTAGACAAATGGAGGGCAAAAGAAAAAGTGGTCTTCAGAAATGTTCTCAGCAGAAGGGTGGCTGTCAGAAGCCATTCTTAAAGAAGTGAAATGGTGTATGCTAAATTACACAAAACTGGTCTGAAAAATCAGTGGCAACAGGTCTTATGAAGTGATGAATCCAAATTTCACATCTTTTGATCAAATCATCATCAATGTGTACGAAGAAGTTCAGGAGAAAGGTACAACAGTGAGTATCCACAGCCATCTGTAAAATATGGTGGAAGCTGTTTCATGGTTTGGTAATGCATTTCAGCCAGTGGTGTTGGGGATCTTGACAAAATTATGAAATATAAGTACAGAAAAGCTGCATCTCGCCCTTAATTAAACATTGTGGAATCATCTTGACACAGAAAGGAAAAAAAGGTATCCGATTTCCAAGGAAGAGCTTTGAATTTCAATAAAGCTTGCCTAAGAGTTCAGGTTGTTTTGAAGAATAAAGGAAAACCAAATACTGACTTTCAAACTTGTCAGAACTGTACAAACCCTATTTTTACCTTATATACTGCATTTCCATCTATCTTTTGCACATGTTTCAGTTTACTGCTTTCATTTTCCTACCAAAATAAAAAGAGAGATGTTGGATCAAGTCTTCTACATAGCAATGTAAAGATAAAGGATGAAAGCAAGTGATTATAAACTTTCTAATAATATAACCATAAATGGTCAAAGTGAGGAATTTACAGTAATATCTAAGATAATGGATGAGTTGGTCCCTAAATTGGATAAGCAGGTGTGAAAATGGATGGATGGACCTTGAATACCATAATTTCTGTCCTGAGTTTAAACATAAACAATCCAACAAAACTTCCACTGTGAGTGGCTTACATGCTAACATTTCTTACTTTTAGAAGGCACACGGAGGTTGGACATGACAACCACCATTGAGTCGGCCTGGACCCTGAGGACATAGCTGGTCACGTTTTCATAATCCAGTGGTTTTGCCGTGGAGATGACGCCTGTCCTGTTGTTCACCTGAAAATGACCTGGAAACAAACAAGTGGCGTTTATGAAAAAGAGGAAAAATTGCACACATATAACACAGTAAACAGATTCACTGGTGAGTTCTATAGTTTTTAATTTCTTGCAACCAAATGGTGATATGACCAGAACTATATGACTTATTTTTTTACACAATTAACTACAAGAACTCTTGAGGTGCATGTGGACAAGCAACTATTGACTGAGGGTTCCTTCTATATACGTCTTCTATTTTTGGCTGACTGACCTGAGTCAGCCTCACACCTCTGCTCTTCTTTGCCAACAAGTATGAAAAGTGATGCACAGTTCCAAGTACATCAATACTGTCCTCTCTGACTCTACATAGACTTCTAAACAAACATCTAGATGTTTTTCACAGAGCATTTTAAGATCTAAATCTCATTTTCACGTTACATAAACTGTTTGGGGTTTTTTTGCACCTAAAGTGGAATTTAGCACTTAGGGTCAAAATGACTGCATTGTATACTGTATAATCTGCAGGCCATACCTCGTTCGTTTCCTGCAACAATGGAGTAGAAGATGGTTTGATTGATAGCAGCAGCAAGAATAATCCCTACTGAAGTGCCAATAGGAGCCAGCTCACTAACTGGAGGGAACCTGAGGAGACATCAAACACAATCATAAACCAAACAGTCTGCCAAAACATAGTGGACCTAAATTCAGTATCACACCAAAAGCATAAAAACTGGATATAAAAGCAGCTACACAAAAGGTACAAAAGGTGTGTATTTTGTCCATTTTACAGACTTTCATAACATTGTTGCAAGAGTTATTCCATCCATGATGCGTCCAACAACCCACCTGCCAAATATCTTAAAAACCTAGTGTACCTGATGTGGGGTACTTAAGTCAGATATGATTAAGAACCTTGCATTTTTAAACATAGATTTATTTTGCACTGCTAAGGTAGTGGGAGGGTAAATCTGTGAGTGGATTCTTTTACGCTCGATCGTTTATTTATCAATTCCTCACATTCTTTGATATGTTGTTTCTTGAGCAAGCTTCACCAAAGCCCTTTAACCTTTAACTACAAAGAAACTGGATGGTTATCATGTAATAAGGCTCTTTTTTTTTTGGTCGATATGCTACTCTTTTAACAGTTATGCGTGACTATCAGCCACACAAGTGTGTAATCATATCGAGCAGATATGATTGTCACCACTCTCCACAGAAATTACAGCTGCCTTAAATAGCAGGGAACCCTGTCGTAGCAGTGTGACGGTGAGGGATGATTGAAGACGATAATGTCATCACACTGCAACACCCTCTTGTGATACTGTGTGTGCTTTCTCGTTTTTACTCTCATCTCTACATATATGGTGTGTATGTGCTGCAGTTTTTATTCAAAGTTAGACTATTACTCACAGCAGCGGTAGGAAATCAGTGACAGCGTTTGTGGGAGTAATGCTCACAATAATCTCTGACTGTCATATTCTATTAAACAGAATATGTTCAGTCTGACTGAACAACATGGACTGCTGACTATCCATGTTTATGACATGTAATTAAACACTTTTATTGCTTTACTCTTTGCTGACACACACAAAAAAAACAACAACAACAAAATGCAGCACATTTAAGAATCTGTTATTGTAATTTCATAAAGCAACTCTCCCATTTTAGATGGCAGTTGTGAAATGAGAAAGATTGAATCCATTTATCAACGTGAAGAAGAAGAGCAAGAAAAACTATATTCAAACAGAAACAGAGGAGTGTATTGTCAGAAAAGATGTGCACGTTTTGAGACGATAAATTACACTGGCCTTACTGCTCAATGAAGTAAAACAGCATGCAGAATCATCTTGGACAGTTTGCAGGTGTAACAGTTCATACAGCAAGTTTTAGAAGAAAAACAAAGGTTCAAATAATACAGTGTTGAAGGACAAAAAATTTGTTGTTATTTTAAAAGGGTCTATTCATACTATTGGCTATAGTTACTGTTTCTGAAGACAACCAATCCTCAAGGACATTTTAGATTAAAAATAAATCTGTAAAATAGGAGCTGTTCTCTTTTACAAAGAATGACACGCTATTCATCCTCGAAGATATTATTGTGGCCTGCACTGGAATGACTGCCTGCATTAATAACACTTTCATCAAAAATACAGCCACGTTACTGACACATCAATAACGTGTTGTTTGGATGATACTAAAAGACTTCTGTTCGGTTTCCCTTCGGGTATGCTATTGTGCTGTCGCTGAATAATTGCTCTGTCTCTGTGGCACCCGGGAGCAGGAATCCACGCCATGCTTCACAGTGATGGGAACCAATTTATTAATGTGGTCTTCACGTAAGTAGATTACCTGGCTCGGGAACAACCGGTTGACAAAAACACAGAGGCAGTGTGAGCACAATGTGAGAACAGTGCTGTGCAAAACAGCCCAAAATGTCAGTCTCATAACTGTGCCATACATCGGAATCCAGGATCCAACACAATGGCTATCCTCAATTTTAAAGTAACCTTCACTTCACTGCTAGTACACTTACAATCCACTGTCTTGTATTATATACTGTACATATTAATATAGAACGCAGATTAATACCACAGAAATTAAAATATATATTCTTTAAATACAAAACTGTAAAAAAGTCTTGTGCCACCCACCTTTTCTTTACATTTTGCTTCTAAGCAGCCAGACTTTTTCTTTTGTTTTTGTTTTTTTTAAACGTGGTGTTGAAAAATAGATATCCTGGCTTTTATGAAGGAAACTTTTCTTAACAGTCCAGTCCTTTGTACATGACCATCATTTTCCATTTTCAGAGGATTTATGTTTTTGTTAGTTAAGCCAATCAGCACAGACCTATGCATCAATCAAGCACAAGCATGGTTTGAATCCATCATCTGTTTGCTTGCATCTTCTGCTGCATTTGCATTGGTTTTCTTCAACTATTCTGGCTTCCTCCCACAGTCCAAAGACATATTACTTATTGGTATTGTAATTGTAAATGTACCCCCTACTAATTTTCCAGTGATTCAAGATCTAAAGGAGGATTAATTGGTGTTTCTAGGCTAATAAATAAATTAAATAAACTGACAGTGATAAGACAATACCCCAAGGTTGAAATTGTATCTGCACACTCTTTATTGTTTATATATTGTTAAGTAAGTAAGTAAATAAGTTTAGTTAATGGTGTTTGGTCTACAGATCACAAAAATCTAATTAAATGCTAAATCTATATATGCATATGTCTTTATGTTGTCAGTATATGAAACTGATACCCAAGAACTCATATTGTCTTTGCTGTTCATACATACATCCTGCTAAAAATGTGTCCCGTCTGTAAAAGACAACTTGCGTCAGCCTCATATGTATCATTCTTGAGGCCTTAAGCTGGATTTTTTGCTCTTCCTACTGCAGCAACCGCATCCAAAAAATAACACATTTGGGCCTCGGCGTGAAGACCGAGATAAGCTGAGGTGGTGGTAAGCGTGAACCACCTCAGGTGAGCTTTATAGGCAGCAGGCCCTCCAATCTAGGCAAGCAACACAATCACACCAGACCATGGAAAACATTATCTACCCAAAAGCAATGGACCTCATGTGATGACCTTTTCCCTTTGATATTTAAAACCCCTCTGTTGTAATTCCATGCCAGATCCTCAAATTTGGTGAATCGTAAAAACCTCCTTTACGTTGTCGTTCTTGGTGACTTATTATTAGAAACATGCTGTATCCCAAATTGCTCCACTGGAACCTTTAATGGGAACATTTTATTCCCAAGAGTTAAAATACATGAATAATATTTATAAACCTACAACAGGAAGAAAGAAAAACAAAAATGAAAAATCCTTACCCTTCTAGTTAAATTTTACCTCACTTATTTAAGATGATTTCTTTAGCATACTGGACTCCCAAAGTCATTCTTCACAACTCTGAAGTCATATTTATTTTTCTGTAGTGAAAAAAACGAAGGTTATTTGTAAGAGAAATGTTTCAGCTTTGGCGATCGTGGCTTTGGTAAAACTTTGGAATGGAGCAGGAGAGGATAACATGCGCTGACCTATTCAAAGGTTTTTCTCAGTTGGTCTTTAAGTCTGAGTGGGGTATGAAAGACTGTGCACAGCTTGCAACAAGCTGCATGGTGTGATTGCCAGGAAGAGGCAGAGCTGACATGTTATCACTTCCCTACATAGTGGGTCTGCCTGAGGGTTGTGAGCTGCTGCGAAATGACAAAGAGGGTGTGAAGGCATCTGAAGTGTGCAGATTAGTATAAAGGTACATCCACATGTAGACAGGAAGAATGAAAGAAGGGTTTGTAGAAACAATACATAGTGATAGCTAGGCATGATAAGAATTAGAGATTCCAATTCCATTGTCGATATCACTTATCAATTTGATTCTTCATTGGCTCTGTTTTGAAAGTCACCACCAGCATGCAGCAATAAAGAAATTACATTCATGCAAATATATTGCATGCTGTGGATCAAACGTTTATGCATGTTTGTTGAGGTATTTCCCCTCTTTGTTGTGATCAGTGTTGGAGTCGTTACTCAAAAAAAGGTCATTATTACACATATTACACACAACACTTAAAAGTAATATGGTACATTACTTAATTACTCCCGGCAAAAAGTAATTCGTTGTAGCCTACTACTCGTTACATTACTTTCACATTGCTCTGTAAAATAACTCTGTAAAACAGTTGAAACACACGCTCTCATAATCACCATTTAACAATAGAAATCTGAGACTACAACACCACACACGATTGCTAATGAGGATACACATATCTAAGATCTTTGTCTTCGTAGAATACAAAGATGCCCGCACAAAACAAAGATAAAAACCAGCATAAAAAAGTGATTGTGAACAGGTAGAAACGGAAGTTGCAGCCTGGCTGCTGATTGATTGTTATCTGTTGAAGTCGAGGGTCTGGCTGCTGAGGTTGGCATTCACTCTGGGTTCTTGGCTAGCTTAGCGTTAGCTTGGCAGATGCTTGCGAACCAAAGTTGTGTTAGTAGCATGTTGTGTTAGTTTCTGTCCTTGATGCAGTTTTCCACTTTGCCACTTACGTTTCCTTTTACGCAAAAAAATAAAAAATAAAAGTCAATATCCATGCAGTAGACTGTGTTGCTATTTCCCTCCACAAACACTAGAGCTGAAATCAGTTTAGGAAGTGGACTACTAGCAACTGGTTTTCTACATGAACTGGTTCTCAATTCCCATTCCTACTGATAGTTTCAAAGAGTCAATTATGCATAATGCAATATCATATAGTGAGCAGGGCCAAATTCACTTTTCATTTCTTTCGTATTCAGATGAGCAAAGATGCCATCAAGAGAGAGAGCGGGAGAGCGAGAGAAAGTAAACGAGAGAAAGAAAAATAAAGAGAGGAGGAAGATGCTGACACATCTACAGGCAGCAGAGAATCCTGGTGTCAACATTAGGGAGGGTGAATGACATGCTGCTGAGAAGCGTGGGCAGCACACAGGTGTCAGCGAGCACTTTGCCCCAGGGCCAATGGAGAAGTGATGCTTACGAGACAAGGCAGAGGCGTATAATCCTTGTCAAGCACCACAGGGGCCTCTGTTACAGTGTCTACTATCCTTCTACCTCGCCTTCCCTTTTCTTTCATGCACTGCATCACAGCCAGAA